GGGGATATAAACAATTGGGTGGGTTGTGAGTTGGGTGTTCGTACTGATATTCACCATTGAACGTTTATTTTTTATTTTATTTTCCCATCCTACAGAATGGGACGAGAGAGAACGTCGGCACAGGTACGAATACCTTGATTATGATTAGCACGTGGAAGAGTTGCCGGCAGAGAGGAGCACACAGCTGTTGAATCAACCAACTTACCTGCAAGCCTAGAATTATTTGCCGTTCTCTAATGCGCCTGCGTCAATTAATCTTTTCATATTATCCGTGATTTTGCTTTCTGACACAAATATGTAGAAAACCCTGAACATTGATCAAGTCTTACCTTCAGGCAGGGCCAACTCTTTAAGAGAGAGGTGTGTGTTTGTGTGCACGTGTGTACCTACCTACTTACCTGCCAGCATGCAGATTAGGGCTGTGTGATACTACGGATTCAGTTGCCGAAAAATGCCTTTCCCCTGGAAGGAGCACAAGTGCACCATCTATCGACAGCTCTTGAAAGCAGCTGCATCTTTGCCCAGGGTGTAGAACTGCCTTTTGTCCTTACTGGATAAAGAAGTGGCTGCTTTTAAAAGTTACAAAGTGCATCATGCTCCCACATGGTACCTTTCCCAAATTGCTTCTAAAGCTCTTCAGATTACCAATGTGCCTGTTTCCATCGACCAAACATCTGTTAAGCACGAGGCCAAAACAATCATTAGCGCTTCGATAGGGATGCTTGAAAAGCAATTATTTCCTGACCTATCTCCAATGATCTTAGAACGTAGCTAAAAAGATATTGTTTATTAGCCTGTAACAATTTACCTGTTCATGAAATGTGTTTTAGCTCCTGGCATTTTCTTTCTCTTGTTAACGATTGTCAATATTGAAAAATCTCAACATTTTGAAAAACCCTAATGCTTGTGTAGTTTTGCAGCTGATGTGTGGCCAAAGAAAATTAAAATGGTAGTTTAAAACATCTCTTGATTCGAGTTGTTTTGCTTTATGTAATGAAAAGGAAATGAGGATGTGGGCTCCAAAACCTTTCCTTCCTTCCTTCCCGTCTTTCTCTTTTCCTTTCCCTCCATTCTCCTTTCCCTTCCTTAATTCCTTTTTCTTTCCTTTCCCTCCCTTCCTTTTCTCTTCCTTATTTCCTTCCCTTCCTTCACTTTATTTCTTTCCCTTTCCCTTATTTTTTCCTTCCCTTTCTCCTTTCCTAATACCTTCCCTTCCCTCTTTCTCCTATCGTTCCCCTCCATTCCCTTCCCTTCCTCCTTTCCTTTCCTCTCATTTCCTCCCCTCCTTTCATAGATAGGACTCACAACATGCCTTTTCTGCTGGGTCTTCTGGGATGAGATGATATGATTTGGAGTGTAGCAGCTCCTCAATATCTTGTCCCCCATGCCTTGAAGGACCAAGATCTTCCTTGTCACAACTACCCCTTGCTCCTTGAGCAGGACTCATGAGTCTTGAAGGTCCCCAGGTTGCACACTGGATCTGGGGCAGTGCCACCCAGTTCAAAACTGAAGACGGTAAGTTCCCAGATCCTGGTGGCTCCAACACCCAAAGTTTCTCAACCTTGTTAGAAATGAGTCCTTGTTCCCTGCCTGAAGCCCCACTGCCTCCAAGAAATGGGACAGGATGTCAAGAGCATCCAATCTCTTCACTACAGGAGAGATACAAAGCTGGGTATCTTCAGGATGCTGTTGACACCTCATCTCTTGGCTGTAGACCAACCTATGGCCTTACCCAACGGTTTCATCTAGATGTTACAGAGGAACAGGGAAAGCATCAAACTCCATGGCACCCCCAGGGTCGGGCTGATGTCTTGGTCCCTGGAACTGTGAAGAAGCAGCACTAACACAACACACCACCACCCTTGCGCCAGCCCAGAAGAACATCATGGTTGATGGTACCAAAGCTCACCATGAGATTAAGTTGAGCAAATCTGTTTAATGGTTTTTCTTTGTGGGAATCAGGAGCTCTCCTTAAAACAACCCTGGAAGTCCCAAAATATATTTCTAAAGATCGATAGCTACAAGAAACGAACTGGGCAAAATATGGGTGGTATGGATAAACGATCCAGTCTTTCAAACTTTTATGCATTTATAGTTATGTTGCAACGTTTTCTAAGAGAACATTTTATTTATCGGAAGTGAAGGGAACGAATTAATCGGTGAAACACAAATGGGGAAAAAAATAAGACACATAACCAACGCGGTATTCAAATGATCAACGTAAATTATGCCACAATGGAGTTAGTCTCAACATATACAAAGCACTAGCAAAGCACTAGCAGTACCACTTCCTACACATCAACTCTTCTTACTTTGGAAGAGCTCACAATTTCCTGACACACTTTGTAAGAAACATTCAGGTTGAAAAAGCAAAGAAAGCATCTCCAGCTGTTGTAATCAAAGCCTTGCCCATATTTTTAGAGGTGACATTTTGACTTTTTTGCCCCTCCGAGGGTGTCTCTGGAAACATTATTTCCAGGAAAATTCCCTCCTGCTTGCCCTCCATAACTGCATGCATCCCTTCGGGGTTTGAAGTTACAATTTTGTAAACTTGCTTTAAAAATACAACGTTCAGCTGCCGTTTTTTAGCACGGCTGATAGTGGCAGTGGACGCTGGGAGTTGTAGTGAGCAGCTCCCCAAAAGTCATCAGCAGACAGATGTTAAATTGACTGGATTAAGACACAATTTTAAAAAGTGAAGCTCGTAAAACGCAAGCTACCTTGGTTCTTTATTAAAATCACAGGGGTCTTCCTTCTTTCAACCGCTTGGGTACATCTATCAATATTGCTGAGGTAAAATCCAACACTCACACATGGATTTTCAAAACATCCTATTTCAAGGGATGATGAAGCCTTAGCCTTTAGGTCTGTCCTACCTTGACAACTTTAAGACCAGTGGACTTCAACTCCCAGAATTCCCCAGCCAGCCATGAATCCTGGGAATAAAAGTCTACCAGTCTTAAAACTTCCCAGGTTAGACACTTTTTGCTTTAGGCCATAAGACCCACCTTGGAAGAAAGATTTCTTCAGATGTAACTGAACCTCATAAAAACAGAGTTCAATATTTTTTCAGCCTCATCCCGAACTGCCAAAATCTCAAAGGAAGTTCCTCAAAGAAACTTTGGACTTCAATGGTTCCATTCTGAAGACGCCATTAACTACCCAAGAAGACGTTTCTTCCCAAATCCAACGAAGGGCGAGGATGAGGCCCATCCCTTCCAAATTTCAAAGAAACAGAAAAAGTCATTCGGATCAGACTGCGGTTCATAGAAGAAAGAGGGCTATGTGGAGATACTTCACAGGAAGGGAGCGCTCTGGAAGTTTTCCAGAGGAGAAATTCAACAGATCAAAGCCAGGATCCCATCAGCCATTATTTCATGCTGTTGAGAAATTGGGCGTGTTCTTCACCTCTTGGAAGAAGAGTTTCTGCCCCGATTTTGGGGCCTTTCTTCTCCTAGAAAAAAGAAATGTCCCGTTAGATGTGATCGCTACCCATCAAGATCAGCTTCAACCCAATAGCCCATAATTAACTGCAGATGCAGTGATGGGTCACACAGGTCTTCTCAGGACAAGCTAGCTTCTCACAATAAGCCCACCCAAATGCAATTCCAGCTCCAAATATTTTTCCTCAATTCTCTCTGAAGTTTCTTCCTTCAGGCCATAAGCTTCAGACTTTAATGTCTGGATTTTACTGAGAGCATCAAATAATTTTCAAAGCTAAGGTTTCTTATACGAGAGATTATTTGTAGCTTGGGGATGAACTGTGGGGTCCTTGATGCTCTCTAAACTTAGCTATTTTCTTGCAGATGTTTCATGACCCAACTAGGGAACATCATCAGTGCCAGAAGGAGTGAGGTTTGCAGAGAGGAGGAGGAGGAGGAGGACTGTGTGGTCCTGGGAGCTCTCTGAGCTTGGTGGTTCTTTTGCAGATGTTTCACGACCCAACCAGGGAACATCATCAGTGCTGGAAGGGAGGAGGAGGACTGTGGCTTCCTTGGTGCTCTCTGAGCTTGGTGGTTTTCTTGCAGACATTTCATTACCTAACTACATCATCAGTGCTGGAAAGGACCAAACCCCATCTGCTCTAGCACTGACAATATTATCGAGTTCGGTCATGAAATGTCTGCAAGAAAACCGCCAAGCTCAGAGAGAGCGTCAAGGACCCCACACAGGGCTTCCTTTCGTATCTGATTTTGGTAGCAAACCTTTGGCTGAGTCTTACCTTCAGCATTCCATCACGTTCCCATTTATAGAGGCCACAGTTACTGAAACAGGAAGAAGGCAGAAAAAAAGAAAATCAAGATTCATTTAGGGTCTTAATACAATTTCCCCGAAATTACGACCTACCCTGAAAGTAAGTCCTAG